GGTGGATACCAGGAAATAAGGATGGTAGAGTGCAAACAGACAAACCTCCCAACTGTGATGTGTCTAAGGTTGAAGATTTGATTAGGGGCTTCTGATGGAACAGGCACGTAATCTTTTCAACTTTCAACAAAAAAGATGCTGAAAAGATCCTGCAGATACCTGTTAGTTTGTCAAGGAGAGAGGATAGCAACTCTTGGATACACAGTGAAACTAGTCAATACACTGTGAAGTCTGGTTATAAACTATTGTGTGACTGGAGTGAACAAAGGAAAAACAAAGGAGAAGCTCTGGGGGAAACAAGTGTGGCAAGCAATTTCCGCAACATATGGAAGAAGTTATGGAAGCTAAACGTAAAAGGAAAATTGAAACATTTTTTGTGGAAGTGCATTAAAGGAATTCTACCAATGAACAACCAGGTCTACAAAAGGACAGGGAAGGGTGATCCAATCTGCAAAGGATGTGGCGAACAAGTGGAAATCATAGAGCATATGCTGTTTAGCTGCAGGAGAGCTAGGGAGGTGTGGAAGATGACACCAATTCAGTGGGATGGGATATTGGCACAGCCAGGTAACTTTTCCTATTGGTGGAATGCAGTAATGGAAGCAACAAAAAGGAAACAAGGTCAGAGCCACATTGAGCTAACAACCAACATACTTTGGCAAATTTGGAAGGCAAGGAATGAATGGCAATACAACTCAAAGCAGAAACATCCTTAGAAGATTGCTCACAAAGCTCAAAAAGATTGGCAGGAGCAGGTGTTAGCAAAGGAAAAACAAGAACCAATGAGCAATTTTGAAACATCCAGAGGACCTATGCAAGATGTTCAAGCACGAGATGAAGCAAATGAAGTCAATCTGCAGATAGCTGTCTATGAGGATATCGACACCAGATGGCTGGGAAGGGGAGTGGTGGCAAAGAATCACAGGAGACAAGTGAAAACAGCTTGGGCCATGAGGGACAAAGGTACAAACATTTCAATATTGGACTTAGCTGAGACAGTAAGGTTAGCTTTAATTAAGGCTGGAGGAAAGAATTGGTCAAAACTGAAGGTTCATATCCCCCACAAGCAGCTTCTGTCATTGTTGATGTCACGGAAAACTAAAGACATTAGACTGGCAACTATGATTGATGACATCGCCAACTTAGGCTCTTTGTTTCAAAAATGCTCATTTTGTTTAGATATAGCAAATGACAATATAAGTAAATCTGTGAGTACTTATGCTGTAGGCATTTGTGTTGATGAGGAATGGAACAATCCTCAAGGTGTCTAACACCTTTGTAAAGTTTCTTGGAGCTGTTGCTCTACAAGTGTATAGTTATGTTTTGATCAATATATTCCTATTGTTTCAAAAAAAAAAAAAACTCAGGCTCCATTCTAAAATGAGCTTTAATTCAAGCTCAAATTGAGAGTTGGCTCAAGTTCGAGCTTTAAATTGAGCTTGTCTACGTACTCGAGCGATTTCAAGCATGAGCTCGAGTCTAAAATATTTGTTATGAATCGATCTCAAACACTACCAATTGGTATTTATTGGTTTCGAACTCAATCTCAAGCTACAAGAAAATTATTGAACTTGAACTTGAATCCGACAAGTATTCAAGTTTGATTTGATTTATTGACACCCCTAATTATGACAAATAAATGTATAATATAAGGAGATGATTGGTGAAATGAGATTCAAAGGGGAGGTGATGGTGAAATCAGGCTCAAAGGACAAATCACCTTTCTAGTGAGAACATAAGGAGGGTAGTTTAGCATAACTTTTTCATCATAGTGGTTTGAATTTTAAATTCAATTTAAAACACTACTCGCTGGGAGACAAATCTAATCATTGAAATTTGAAGAAAGCAGTTTACAATTACCTCGTGAAAGGTTTGGTTAAATTTTTGTTGTATAGTGTGCAAGCTGAAGCAAAATCTTTATTACTTGGGTTGCAATTGTGTGTGCAAAAAGGTGTTAGGCAGGTTATGGTTGAAACCAATTCCATGGTGTTGGTATGCATTCTAGCAGGAGACTGTCCATGTTCATGGTCTATAGGTATTGAGGTGGAGCAAATGCTTGAGTTTTCTCATGACGTTATCGTTGTCCAGCATTGTTTCCGGGAAGCAAATAAGGTTGCCGACTCTTTGGCTAATGAAGGCTGTGTTAATTATGAATCCTTAGTGAGTGTTTACGAGCGAGTGAGAGATCTTCCGAAGTTAGTTAGAGTCGTGTATCGGTTAAATAAATTAGCTTATCCTTCATTTTGAAGGATTAAAGTTAGCTAAATTTCGAGGTAAGGCTTATGTCCCCTTCTTGTACGGGTATGGTTCATTAATAATACTCGGGCTGGCATCCCAACCTCGTGAATGGGGTTTGCCATTTTTTTTTTTGTATAACATGTAGGGATGGACAAAAATATCCATTGATTCGAAAACCCATTATATTTGATTCGATCCAAAAAAAAAGGTATCTAATTTGCATTAATTGATTGGATCAAAAAATGGTCTGGTATTTGCTTATATACAAGGCGGGGGTATGATCATAGGATTAAAAACCCGTAGGTACTAGACCCACTCCACGTATATATATTTTTTATTTTTTATTTTTTATTTTATACACGTACTATAAAATAATATTTTTAGAACCAATTAATTAATTTTATTGAGCGAATTGCACTACAAATATGGAATACTATAATTTATTTACAAGATTTATTTGTAGAGAACCTAATTTTATATATTTTTTAGGAAAGAGTTTAATTGATGTGGAATATATATTTTAAAATGGTACTACTTATTTCAAATTTTTATTGATTTTAAATTCTTTTAATTTTTTTTAACTTTTTTTTGTATTCTCTTTGCGTGCTTGTTTCTTGGTAGGAGACTTCTTTTGAGGAAAAATCTTTGTTAAATCTTAAATGAATATGTAAGATACAAAATTAAATTAGTATAAAATATTTTTTAAAAAATTAAATAATAAACAGGGCATGGTTGGAGGGTACTTGTTGGTCCGATCCTATCTCAATGGATATCCAATGACTGAGTACCCATATGAGGTAAGAGTTAGGAAATGACTAACCAACAAGTGCGGATCGCGTCAGCCAAATGGTGCACGAAACAGGTATCCAACCCGTTCCCACCACTAATAACATGAAACATGTTCGATGTTTTTAGGAAAATTTGTGTAGTGCCTTATCAGCAAATGTGTATGCGAGGAAAAAATGATTGAAAAATGTATTTAAAGAATTTCAAAGCATCTTTATACACACACACATATAAAGCATGAGATATGAGTTAGGTGTTAAAATTTTTTATCACCTTTTTTTTTTGAAAAAAAAATTTACCATTCAAAAGTAAAGATGATAACCACTAAAATTCACAAACTTCCAATAATTTTCACTATTTTAACTTCTTTTTTTGTTTGCAAAACAAAAGTTCATAATATTTTTTTGTTTGCAACAAAAAAATTTCCAGTTGTATTCTTTTCCCACTAATTTCCATAAAACTTGACCATCCAAATAGAGGAGGACCCTTGTTTGGACGAGGAGTTGTTTTAATTTGTCTTTACATGTTCTCTAAACAATTCTTTAACTCACGAAGTCTATTCCAATGAAGGTGATACAGAAAAAATAAGTTAGTGCCAATTGAATTAAAAAAATAAAGTTATGTAGCTAATGTGTATAAATGCAAGGGGGTGTAATAATTATTAATGTGTGTACTTATATAATAGGTTGGGTGTGATTTAGTTAAAGAAATTCAGAAAAATTTTTCAAAATGCATCTTAAAAGATAAACTTTCACACAAAGATGAGTAATCAAACTATTTACATTACACGTTCCGAATTAATCATTTTTTGTTTCAAATTGTCCACTCAAGTCACAAAAGTGATATACTAATAGTCAGTTAGTTTACTTTTTCCATTATATTTATTCAATTCCATTAATTTTAGATTTATTTATGTTAATTCAAAATTGTTTTATTATATATAATTTTTTTGTGTTTTATCTTTCTCGCTTATTTATTGTCTTCTTCTTTCTCCTGTAATTACTTCTCGAATTTTTTCCTCCTTCCTCTTTCATGGATATATGTACACATATATACATACATACATATTTATATATGTATAAGCATCTCTTCATGAATTAATATGAGTAATCTTTAATCAAATAAAGAATAACAAATTTAACATTACGAGACAAAGTGATTACAATTATACAATTTCAGAACATGAAAGCACTTCGTGCTATGCCCCAAATACCTATGAAGTCGGAGTTGTAGTTACATTTTTCGTAAACTAAATGAGATGTACAAAAATAAAACTAATTCATTGGTCAACAGTATACAATATAAATATTTAAAAAAATCTAAATGTTTTAAGGTTTATTTAAATTTTTTTATCCACCATTCTTAAAAATCAAATAATTTCGACTGTTGAATTAACACAATATGAACTATTACCCATTCTTAAAAGTATCATTTCTTTACAATAATAAAATCTATGTAGGTGGTTAAATTGGTGTTAACTTTATTTGTTTCTAAATTTATCCTTTTTTCTATTATCCATCTCTATTATCTTTATTATTCATCTCTATTATCCATTAACCCTTGCCTCTATTATCAGCTGACGTACAAATTCTACTCAACCAAAAGTACATTCGTCCAATTCTCACATTTCCTTATCAACGGTTTTTTTTTATTTTCAATTGTACATATTTATATATAATACACTTTTTATTACATGTTACATAAAATAGTTATATTCACTTGTACTTGATTCTTTCAATTAAAAATATTTTTTAAAATAAATTGCGTGCGCATTAAATGTGTCTCGATAGGTAGTGAGCACTATTCTATCAAGCATGTATTAATGCCTTTTTACTTGGCCTATCTAATAAAAAACTTTTACTTTTACCCCAAAACAAAAGGGAAAAATAGACTTGACAAAAATTGTAAATAAGCACAAAATAAACGTTAGCAAAACAGATCCAACACCAAAAGCCCCAACGTCATCACAACCAAAAATCCACCTCACTCGCTGTCTCACACACACACACACACACACACACACACACACTAAACTTACCTCTCATCCTTCCTTTGACTCTCTTCTTCTTCTTCTTCTTCTTCTTCCCCGGCAGCCCGGGGCCCCCTGAATACCCCCTTAAATAAATCCCCTAATAAATTCTTTAATTCAAAAAGAACGAAAAAAAAGAGCAAAAATCCTCCGATCACCGAGAATTCGATTGAATTATGGCGACGGAGATGGCTCAGATGGATCCAGAAGGAATCGACGGAGTTCGGATGACGTGGAACGTCTGGCCACGGACCAAAGTCGAATTGAGCAAGTGCGTGATCCCACTCGCCGCCTCGATCTCTCCGATCCGATCTCATCCCGACGTCCTCACCCTCCCATACCCGCCGCTCAAGTGTAAAACCTGCACCGCCGTCCTCAACCCATTTTGCCGCGTCGATTTCCAAGGTCTAGTTTGGATCTGCCCGTTTTGTTTCTCGCGGAATCATTTTCCCCAGCATTACAACGCAATTTCGGAGACGAATATGCCCGCCGAGCTCTACCCCCAATTCACCACCATTCAGTATACCCTCCCCACCCTGCAGCCGATTCATCACCATCAAAACCCTAATCAAAACCCTAACTTTTTCGAGCCGAATTCGGCTGTTTATTTGTTCGTTTTGGATACTTGTGTCCTCGAGGAGGAATTGGAGTTTGCGAAATCGGCATTGAAAAGGGCTATTGGGATGTTGCCTGATAATGCTTTGGTTGGGTTTATATCGTTTGGGACGCAGGTGCAGGTTCACGAGCTGGGGTTTTCGGAATTGTCAAAGGTGTATGTTTTTAGAGGGTCTAAGGATTTGACGAAAGATCAGGTTTTGGAGCAGTTGGGACTTGGTGTTATTGGGGCAGCACGACGCCCAATGCCTGGAATTCAGAGAGTTGGAGGTAGCCCTGTAGGAATGCCGAATCCCGGTTTTTCTAGATTCCTGTTGCCTGCTTCTGAGTGCGAATATACGCTCAATTCGGTGCGTGTTTTTATGGAATTTGTTGGTTATTGTAGGGAATTAGTTTACTTGGGATGAATCTGCGTCATGATTTCTGCCTTTTTTTTTGTAGCTATTGGATGAGTTGGGGACGGATCGATGGCTGGTGCCACCTGGGAGCAGGTCGTTACGGTGTACAGGAGTTGCATTGAGTGTTGCAGCTGGTTTGCTTGGAGTTTGCGCAGCTGGTCAAAGCGCAAGAATTGTTGCTTTAGTTGGTGGACCATGTACTGAAGGGCCAGGAGTGGTAAAGCTTCTTCTGGTCTTTCTAATTTCTATTATTACTGGTTGGAATTTGATTTTCTTTTTTTCATTTATGCATACGGTGTGCTGTTGATTGACAAGTTCAATCGGAATTCATTTGAACATCCTTGCTGTCATGGTTAAAAAGGAAGAAGTTTTAGTGATGACAATGTAGAAAGTGTAGATTTGTATCTATTTTCATTATTATCTGGTAATGACGTCATGAAGTTGGATTTTAGGGAGTCTTTTGAGTCTGCATGGTTATGTAATTGGCATTTCCTGAATCACTTTGGGGGAAGGGAAAAGAAAAAGAAAAGCTTATCTCACTTCCCATTTGGAATCAATGGCAGTTGCACACCTATCTACTGGTCATGGATAGCAATACTACACAAGCTGATTAAGATCATGTGCAAGAAAAACCCTCTGGTATTGCTGTGCACAAATGTTGTAACTGTGTTTTACATTGTAAATGGTTTTAACTGTAGCTTCGTTGATGGAAAATGTAATTTTTTTTTTTTCAAGATGAATGAAAAGATCAAATTTGTTTAAGTATTGGGGTTCTGATTGGTTTAACAACTTTGGGGTGTCTGAGCAACAGCTGCTGTTATTTGAAATTGAGCTGCTTGATTATTTGTAATACTACTTGTTTTTCTTTGGTTCTCTTTCTTATGTTGTTCATGGTATGGTGGTCCTAGAGCAGTACAGAAAAGCATTTTTTAGACTTATGTCCCAGGGGTAAGGACTGAAAGTATGAACTATTCAATGTCTGAACAAATCGGTTCTAATTGTTTGGGTTCAATAAATTGAGTCTTGACTGTTGATTACTATAAATAGCTGACATATGCCTCTTTTTTCAGATTGTTTCCAAGGATCTATCAGATCCAGTTCGTTCACATAAGGATTTAGACAAGGATGCTGCACCATTTTTCAAAAAAGCTGTTCATTTCTATGAAGAGCTAGCTAAGCAGCTTGTCAGTGAGGGTCATGTCTTGGATGTTTTTGCATCTGCTCTTGATCAGGTTTGCATGTCGCGACTCAGCACTTATTATTCATCTTAGATAATTAACTTTATACTTCTGTGAGGCTGTAACACCATTTCTTTTAGCCTGTATTTCAAAAGATGGGTTTTACTTAGATTCACATGCGATAGATGCATACTGCTGGAGCTCATCAGTGGAAATTGCTTTTGCTCATCTACCATTTTTTTTGTTTCATTTTGTCTTTACTGCTTTCTCAATAAGTCTTACATGAGAGATATGAAACTCTTAATCAAAGCAGGTGGTGTTTATTTTCATTGTTGTCTTTTACAACACTTTGCCACGTTATACTTGGTTACAAAAGGAATGTGGGCTGTCATGATTGTTGGACACCAGTAATCTTAGTGCACTCACTCTAAGCCATTGAACCAAAAGAATATTCACTGATTACATGTCAGTCTTTTTTTTTTAACTGAATGAAGTGTGGTGGTGGAGCTAGAAAGGTATAAGTAGCTGGATGGGAGGATTTTCCAGACACCTGTAGCATAGGATGCATAATTTAAGTAGTGAGGAAGAAGAAAGCCAAACATATGTTAATCCTTAAATTGATTGTCCATTAGGGAAGAAGATAGAAACTATGTAAAATCAATTTCTAAAATTCTACAACTTCAAAGATTCCCTACTGTCAATTTGGAGTTAAATGACTTCTGCTGATTTATCTGGTGTGTTTCCTATATGGTTGGATATCCACACTTTCAGTATGTGTTTATATTCTGTTCCATTAGGTCACCATTGATTCCATTAGGTCACCATTGATTCTCTGCTGCTTGGTTTAGCTATTTCTTTTCTTTTTTTTGTGTATATGCTCAATCTAATTGATTTTGTCCATGGAGTTTTTTCCTCTATTTTTTTTACCTTATTTGCTTTTGCTAATAGAAGGATGTTTTTAGGTTGGGGTTGCTGAGATGAAGGTTGCCATTGAAAAAACTGGTGGACTTGTTGTTTTAGCTGAAAGTTTTGGTCATTCAGTATTTAAAGACTCTTTCAAACGACTTTTTGAAGGTGGAGAACAGTCTCTTGGTCTTTCCTATAAGTGAGTTTCTTAATTTTACGATTTCAAGCTGCACCTCTTTCATTTGCTAAATTGCTGCTGCATTTGGTAACTTTTGAGGTCCTTAAATTTTTTTATGTTTCATTATCATATTGTAGGCTAGATTGTGTTGGTGTAAATGAGAGAACTTAAAGATGCATTTTAATTGTGGAAACATCAAATTAGGTTAAGTATAAGAACTCGATTAAATTTTGCATTAACGACTTTGGCATGTTATTTTTGGACGTGCTACAAATTAGGAGAGTTCATGTGTAGTTTAAGCATCTTTAAGTACATAAATTAACATTTTAGACCAAATGCTGTTTGGTTGAAAAATTCCATGCCTCAGTGAATTTATGCAAGATACTGTTTTATTATGTGGAGTGAAGAGAATTTTGCAATTGAAGTTTGCTTGTGGGAAGCAACCGGAAAATATGGTCAAAGGGAGCAAATTAAATGACCGAATTTTTGCCCCTCTATGAATTGCCTAACATTTACATTGACTAATCGCAAAAGGTTGATGATCTTTTTGTTTGTGAAATTTGCTCTCAATATCTTTATAGATATGCTTGTATTTGCCAATTTGACATGCTGGTCTTCCAAAAGTGTTGGAACTTCAGCTGACCTTGTAGATGCTATTAATTTGAACTTAAGAGTTTTGCCTATTTGGTCCGTCTTTTTATTCTATAGCTTGTTGTCAGGGCTATACTGTTTTGTAATATTTTCTTTGTGCTATATTCTGTCATTTATGCTTTACATGTTATTTCTCTGAATAATTTAAGTCATGCAACTCCTTTTCAGTGGCACACTCGAGATAAACTGTTCAAAGGACATCAAAATCCAAGGTGTCATTGGACCTTGCACATCTTTGGAGAAGGTTTGTTCATTCTTGAAGCACTACTTCCTTTAACTGAATAGAGTGCTCTATTTTGTTTAAGAATAGTGTAACTATGTGTAATTTTGATTCTGAAAGTTTTTTTTTTTCCATGAATGGAAATCTTGCAGAAAGGGCCTTCTGTTGCCAGTACGGTTGTTGGAGAAGGGAACACTACATCTTGGAAGTTGTGTGGCCTTGATAGGAATACTTGCTTGACTGTTTTCTTTGATATATCGTCAAGTGAAAAATCAGATCCATCAGGATCAAATCCTCAATTATTCCTACAGTTCCTTACAAGGTATTGGGTCCTTTTCATGCATGTTATTTTTTTCTTAGAAGTTGGCCTCCTTTTGTTTATCTTGTGGGCCCTCATTTTGTTTGCTTGACAATAAGCTTCTTTTTTGTGCATGTACTTTTACATCCGTGATGTCACTTTGGTCTGGGTGCAAATTCTGCTATTAATAAACGTCCATGTAGCTACCGGAGCCCTGAAGGCCAATCGCTGTTGAGAGTTACAACTGTTACCAAAAGATGGGCGGATAGTGCTCTTGGCACAGAGGTAAGGACATGGTGGTGTATAATGCTGGTTGTTTCACTTGCTCTTTTTTGACGTGCATTTTTTTCCAGTCTCTGTAACCCTAATTTCTATTTTAAATAACATTTTCTTGTTTTGGGTGGACAACTTTGGTCTAGTGGGGTTTGTTGTTCTATCAGGCAAATTTGAGTTCTGCAGTCAGTTCAATGTTAAATCTAATCATTTTTGACATGCAGGAGTTGGTCCAAGGGTTTGACCAAGAAACTGCTGCTGTCATAGTGGCCAGATTTGCATCTTATAAAATGGAGAATGAGGTAGTCTTTCTTTCTTAAAAACTGTTAATGATCTTCATGTGCATATTCAACAAGCTCATTTCGTTAAATATAATTTTTTGATCCATGGTGGTTGTTAAAAGACACATAAAAAAAGAGGAGAGAGAAACAGATGCTGACACTGTTGCTTTACTTTTTTTTTGGCCTTATTTTGAAAATTTTTGGTATATGTAGAATTTGTTTAAGGTTTCTGCTATCACATCTGTGAATTACTTATGATTCTGGAATTGGTTTACTTGAAACTTCGTATAATGTAATTGGTTTTCAAGAATATTCTTTTCACTCTCTCATGCAAGTTCTATTTTATGTAATAGAATGTGAATTAGGCTAACAAGCTTGATTGTGTAGAATTTTGTGTAGTGGTACACTAAAACTTTGCAAAGAAATTTTAAATTGCGTACCAGATTCATATTGGGCAATAAAATATTTTAATTAAAAAGTAAATGTGTAAATGATTCTTGTACTTACATGCTGACTGTAACTTTATATTGTTGTTGATGGACATAAATCTCAGGATGGTTTTGATGCCACACGGTGGTTGGATCGGAATCTGATTCGTCTTTGTGCCAAATTCGGTGACTACCGGAAGGATGACCCGTCCTCATTTACATTAAATCCCTCTTTTTCATTGTTTCCTCAATTCATGTTTAATCTGCGGCGTTCACAATTTGTGCAGGTATAGGCAGGGGCTTTAGAATGTCGCTTAGAATTATAGCTTGTCAATTTTCATCCTATTGGCTTGAACCCTCTCTTTTCTATGTAGGTATTTAATAACAGTCCAGATGAGACAGCATGCTTCCGCATGTTGCTCAACCGGGAGAGCATAAGCAACTCCGTTGTTATGATTCAACCATCACTGATGGCATATTCTTTCCATTCATTGCCCACACCTGCTTTGTTGGATGTGGCATCAATTGCAGCTGATCGTATTCTGTTGTTAGATACATACTTCAGTGTTGTAATTTTCCATGGGATGACGATAGCTCAGTGGAGAAACATGGGCTACCAGAATCAACCAGAACACCAGGTTTGTGCGCGTTTTGTTCTTTGCTTCTTCCACTGGTCAGAATTTCTATTTTGAATATGGGGTGTGTTTGGATCCCTTGTTTTTGGGGCTGTTTTTGAAAAACTGTTTTTCACATTCCAAATGCTACAGTAAATGTGTATTTCCAAAACAACTCCAAAAACACCATATCCAAACATTATATCAAAAACAACTACATATGTATATTTCAATTTGTATATTTCAATTATGTATATTATATATATTATATTATATTAATATAAATTGAAATATACAGATTGAAAATTATATATATATTATATATTATATAAATATTTATATAAATTAATATTATACATAATATTGTATATTATACATAATATAATATAATATATATAATATGTAATATTGTATACATAAATGTGTAAATATTTATACATAATATATTATGTACATTATATTATAATATATACATTATTAATGTATAATATTATTATGTACATTATTGTGTATAATAATGGTATGTATAATATATAATATACATAATATGTAATAATGTAATAATGTATATTATGTATGATATATTATATTATGTATATTATATTATATATATACAATACTATGTATATTTTACAAATTAAAAATTATATATTATATATTTATATATTATATATTATATAAATATTTATATAATGAAATATACAATAAATATTACAAATTGAAATACTATATAAACACCATATTTATAATATTATAATATTTATAATTAATATTAATATATATTATATATATTAAATATTTATATATTTATTTATACATATTATAAATATTTTTATATATTTATATGAATATTGTATATTATATATATTATACATTTATATAAATGTGCATTTATACATAATATATATTAATGTATATTTATAATATACATTTATATTATGTATTATATATAATATAATACATTTATAACTTTATATTAATATACATAATATTAATTTTATATTTATACATAATATTAATACATTTGTACATTTATTTTAATTATATTAATACATTTATACTTAATATTAATATCTATTAATAAAATTATAATTTATACATTTATATAATATTCATTTGTAATTTATACATTTATAATAATATAGACTTACTAATTGAAATCCACCGTGAATGTTGAACAACTAAGATGGGAACTGTGTTCATGACATTATTGTGCGTTAATTTTTTTTTGGTTGCTGTGTGATCGATGAATTTCTATAACTGTATAGGGTTGATCGAAATAATAATTCACTTGGAGTACTCCAGGGTCAAACATATAGGAATGAGTTAATTTTTTCTACTTTAATTAGTCTAATAAAAATAATAAAATTTAAATTTAGAGGGTTTTTAATCACTAATTAAGAAATTAAATAAGTAATCAAATCAAATAAGATATAGGTGAGAAAACAATTAGCAAAAGACTAGAGTTTCAAATTTTGATTCATAATTGGAATCATTATCCAATTATTTTCTTAACATGTCAAAGACGTATCACGTAAAGGTATTTTAATTATCTCTCGATACATCTAAATTGTGTCTAATGAAATCTCACATTGCTCTCGAGATCATAGGTATTTAATTAAACCCTTTAAGATTTTAGGTGATATGATTATGCCATCCAAATCCTAACCCACATTCCTAATTAGGTTAAGTAAGTTTATTTATCTAATATATGGTTGTATATCGCTTCTCAATTCAATACAAACCCTAAAAGCATATCTATAGTGGCCAAACATAAATATGTAATAAAGGCAAGATAGATAAATCAAAGAAAAATTGAATAATTTATCTAGAACAAATAATCAAATCTCCTTCACAAAATCTTAAGTCTAGATATAAATTAGTTCAACATATTCATAGATAAATCCAAGAATTCAAATGAAAGACAAAATAAGAAGTTAAAAGTAAAGAAAACTTCTCAATTTTTCCCTACTCCAATCTCCATCTTGAACTTTCTCTTTGATTCTTCAACACTTCCTTTGTGATCTCTCATGAAAAGAAGATATAAAAAGGATGAACTAATGTAAGCTAAATGCTTTCTAACCTAAAAATATCCTAGAATGTCCTATTTATAGTCTCTCAAAGTTGCATCCGAAATGTGGTAGGAATAGGTCTTGAAAACTTACCAAAAATCGAGTTTGAATGGGTTTTCCAATAAAGTTCGGCCCGAAGACTGGCTCTAACTCTGGCCGCAAACTTGTTACGCTCAAAAATCAGAGTAAATTCTTAAATTGTGATGGAAAAAAAAAAGTTGTTTTACAAGGGGATAATTTTTGAAGCTAATTCTAGGATTATGGTCTTCACATTTGTGAAACGCGAGTTCAAAGACTTCGCATTTCACAAATGCGAGGTCAGTGTTTCAGGAAAAAAGAGAAAGGTTTTGAGAAAAAGTAAAAAACAACGAAGTAAGGTCGTATGCGCCAAATGCGAGCTGAGGTACCTCGCATTTCTCGAATGCAAGGTACTCAATCAGAGCTCCTAATTACGGCATTCTAATCTGTCTCCTAACCTGCAGAAATTGGAGCTCACTCTCTCCATCCAGCTCACCTCTCTTCTCTTTTGCTGAGCTAGACACCAGTCCAAGCTTCCAGGATCGGCAAACGAAATCCCTCACATCTTTCTCGTCGGAAGCTCTGCGCCATTGTAGAGCTTGGACCCCTGTTCGGAACCCATTTCTGTAAAGCTAGCCAGCTGCGCCTCTCTCCCCCTCCCAATTTGCCACTTGTACTACCTCAACAGGACTCCCCAATCAATTTTGTGTCTCATTTGCACTGCACATTTTCTTTTCACTTGGCAAATGGCTTTCAAATTCGTGGCTATGCTCTGTTGCTCAGAAACAGCATAAGAGGTCAGGCCTACGTACTGTTAACAAATGAGGTCTGTTTTTTTTTTTTTTTTTTTTTGGATTTCGTTGGTTGCAAATTCAAGAGACTTTGCATTTGGGAGCTGAATTTGCTGAATGCGAAGACCCTTGGACGGAATCCCATACTCAAAATGCCCCCTTTGTAGAATTTTTTTAAAATTCATCATAATTTTAGAAATTTCTCCAGAAATCATTGGAACTGGAAGAAGTCCTCACAAAGTCCCTTTCACTGTTTGGCGTTGGACAAAGGATCCACCCGATGATCCTTGTGTCCTGGCAGCCCAACGTTTCTTCTTCTTTTGTTGCGTTTTTGATTCATCTCCTCCTCAATTGCGTGCTTTTCCCGCAAAAACCAAAATATACTTAAATTAGGCAACTTCCATTCTAATTATAGCTCAAATAAAACCATTCATTGACAATTAATAAATATAAATTACTATAATTTGTAGCTTATCACTGTGCTTCACGGCTTCGGAATATTTCACTGCTCTGCAAAATGGTCTATTCAATTTGTTCATTCACAAGAACTTTTATGCTATTTCCATTCAAAAGCAATAGCATAATTAGCAATGGTCATGTGACACTAACGATCAGAGACTTAAGAAGAGCTCTGTTGTGCTGTTGCCTCCAATCACATGGAAAGCATCCAAAATTAAAGTTTAGAGTAAGAAAATAGAAAAGTGATTCAAGTTCGAAGGTACGAAGTAAAATTTGTCCTATGTTACAATATTTCTTTTAGGGTCTATAAGGGTAAATGTGGAACAAAATGTGATGACACCATTTCTTGTCAATTTATTCCATTTCTTTTACTGATATGGGCTGAATTGGTTACTACATTAGTTAAAGTAAGAATGGTCAGCGTAATATTGAAAATAAGAGGGGTACTGAAATTGTCCAAAACTTCAGCCAAGGTTTATGAAATTATCCAATAGTTTAAGTAGCTGTGCCTGTTGCTTGTACAAGAGTGAATCTTCTCTGTTATCTTGAACGAGCTAAGAATATTCGTCGAATTCCACACTTTATTATTGACTAATGAAGCGTCCACGTCTCAAGTCTCCGGACGCCGGAATAAAGAATTTATTGTCCTTATACAAGTTACAGCCTTTCTTGACTGCTAAAGTTGATAGTTCAGCTAATGATCATTAAGAATTATAAGATAATGTGGCTATTGTTCAATCTGTGGATACTGGATAGGATATCAATCTCCTTTTTATTGTTTTTTTTTTTGTTTGTTTGTTTTTTTAGGTAAGATAGACGTTCCTTTGAATATTATCATTTAAAATTTTTTTTTTGTATTGAGTGAATTGGACTGCCCTTATTTTTGAAAACCAAAGTTGTCCTACCACATGGAATCAACTCCACATCTAAAATCACTCAGTATTGCTTATTCATAGATGCAAGTAGGTCTTCGATACAATTAAAGAGTGACTGAAAAGATCCCTTGTCTTGAGATGTAGTACTCGTTGCAAGCTAGTCAGATTTTTCCAATTTCTTGTTTGAATATATGAAAATTCTAGCTTGCGGTTCTCGTCAATTCTTCAAATCAACTCCAAGTTCATTAATATATTTGTGTTTATGGAACATTTTGTTGAGTAGGGTAATGAGATTGAAGGATGGTTTCAAGAAATTCATATATTTGGGATATATTTTGAAATTTATCGTACATTTACCTTGAAGATCAGAAGAAAATTGAGGCAGAATTGAATTATTACTAAGAATGGTGAAGGGACTTAGCATTAAGCTAATCTAGAACAATGGCTAATTTATTTTGAGGTGGATATTGAATCAGCTGACATCAAATGGATCTGGCTGCTTAAGTCTTTATCTTAAAGTACTTAATTTAGCAATGCTCTCCATTTTAGCAATGTACTTAATTTAGCTTAATTTAGCCTATGGCATGCTTTATACGCAGCATTTGTGATCTTCCTAAAACTAAAACATTAAAGGATAAAAAATAATCATACAGAATACTAACAGTATTTTGATTACTATACTTAAGCTTTTATATTTAAGGATATTGATGGTGCATTGATAATCTAATCTAATCTAATACTATATAAAAGTGTTTTGATGGTGCATTGATAATCTAATACTATATTGATGGTGCATTGATAATCTAATCTAATCTAATCTAATACTATATTAAAAAAAATACTATATAAAAGTGTTGATGGATGCTCAGAGAAACAAA